GTTTTTTCTGTTCAGCCAGTGCCTACATATTATTGTGCAAGACTTTATTATATTCCTTACACAGTAACTTGTACTGTCTATATTCGCGACAGCAGCATGACTGGGTCTCCTTGGTCGTATGTCTCGCAAACCCAAATTTTCGAGACATGTGCCTGTGGTTTTCGAGACAAAGCTGCTAATGGCTCGACAACACATCCTTGACAGGCTACCTATCGTAGTGCCCCATGCCAGCCAAGACGAACAAACAGAAGAAGGCAGCCATCTATGCCAGGGTTAGCTCTACCTCTCAGAAAGACGGAGCGGGAATATCGCGTCAGAATGCGAGGTGCAAGGCTACATGCAAGTCGATTGGCGCCAAAGTGGCTTTGGAAGTATCCGAAGTTGTGTCCGGGTCCCTGCCACTGAAACAGCGCAAGATCTTCAACGAACTCATGGAGAAATGCAAGGACAAGGGTGTCTCCAAAATCATTGTCGAGGGAACCCGAGCATTTTCGCGCAATGCCCAAGTGTCCGAGACAATCTACGAGAGAAGCAAGGAATTGGGGCTCAACATCATCCCGGTGGATGTCCCAGACTTGTTGGAACACAACCCCAACCCTGCGCAAAAGTTCTTGCGGCGAGTCATGTTCTCCTACACGGAACTGGAGAAGGATATGGCAGTACAGCGGCTACAACATGGGTGGAACCGAAAGCTCACTGAGGCAAAGAAGAATCACAGAACAGGGCAGTGCAAAGCGCGCCTCAACCAATCCGGCAAGGTCAAGATCAATGGACGCAAAAGCATCGTGGAAACCAAGAGCCTCAGCGGCAAGCAACGAAGGCAACTCCTTGAACACACCAAACTCTACTTCAATGGCGACGTGACGGTCAGAGAGCTCGCAAAGCACTTCTCTAAAGCCATGAAGTTGACAAAGGCAGGGCCCAATGTTCTTTTTTCGGCCCCACGTCATGGTAAGATAGCTAACCCCTGTCAGGTCATGGCAGCAGAAACTGCTCGTCGCACAGCTCACTCTCTACAGAAGAAGTGAGCTTCGCTTGAATTGTTTCTCTCTGTGCTGTGTTTCCAGACTTGGCTAGGTCAACCTCATTAGAATTGTGATACTCGCACATGGAGAGAAGACCCAAGCGCACGGATAATTACGAATTTAGTTGCGGCCTGTGGCCCGGAGCATTGCTCTCAAGATTCTGCCAAGCATGGGCACAGGGATGGCGTTGCCAGCCAGGAGTCGCAAATGCCTCTCAGACACGACGTTCCTGGGGATTTCCTCCGGCAGAACACCCATGAAACGAATAATCTCGTTGGTGTTCATCATGCGATTTTTCCAACTGAGCCAGAAACCACCGGCACCAGCACGAGCGCGTGTCAAACAAGGGCACAAGTCCTTGCAAACCTTCGGTTTGCGAGACATGGCGCACGACACGTCTATGAAGTAGTGGCTATGTAGTGGATCGTCTCCACGTTCCATGACAATGTTCTCGATGGCAGCTTTCAGCTGGTGCCTTGCTCCTTTCTGTCGAGGCCAGACGATGCGGTCCTGCTCATCATCTGCATCCAGCAGGTCAGTGACGGTAAAGCCGGAGGCCTGGAAAAGGAAGCTTTTAGTTTCAGTCCTTACAATGCTTCGCACATTCGCACAAGCCCTTGGAATGAATGGAATTGGTCATCGAAAAACATAGCTTGCTGCCACGAAGCTGTTTTCTTGGGCCACTGCATAGCTTCTTGAAGATGCGAGCGCCGAATCCCGACAATGAACACCCGTTGACGACGATGTGGCAGACCATGGTCTGCACAGTTGACAATGGACCAAGATAGCTCATAAGAACTCAAATCCACCAGTGTTTTCATGATGTCATAGAAACAGTCGCGATGTCTGTGGACCAAAGCCGGAACGTTCTCCAACACAAACATCTCCGGAAGGTGGCTGGCAATCCATTGGAGGATTCTGCTCACAATTCTCCCATCCCAACAAGAAGTGCCTGGTCCTGCGGCATCCTTGCTGAAGGGCTGGCAAGGAAACCCAGCAACGAACAACTGAACGGTTGGACTTGCCATGAAATCGTCAGACCACACGTTGCCGTAGGTCTTCTGAGAGGCTCCGTGGGCAGACTGATGAACGGTACGTGCGTGAGAACATGTGTCGCAGCTGAAAACTGAAGTGAACTCGATATTCATGTGTTTCAAAGCGAACAGCTCACTTCCCCAACCCGAGCAGCAACTTCCGACCAAAAGTCCAGAACATCTCGGAGCAAGTGTGCGCCCCACAGACAGGCAGCCAGGATGCTGCGACAACGACAATGTCGTCGCGTCTGTCTGCTCCTTTGCTTTGGACATCCTACGGAACTTGCCTTTGTGCTTCTGTGGCTGCTCCGTTGCTTCTCTTTTTCTGCGCCTTTGCGCTGAAAGCAATTTGCCTATTTCAGAGGCAGCCGCCTTGCACGCCATGACCAGCAGTCGACGGAGTCCGGTCTGACGGCACACTTCAGAATTGCCCCTGAAGGAAAGGGCTGCGCACAGTGCTGGGATAATTGTAACAGTCAAGTCTGGCCACAACTATAATGAATCAGCAGCCCACTCAGGTCACACACTCACTCGATGCACATTTCACAAGCTTGCACGACGCATTGCAGGACGTCTGCAACCAGTCCCCTGTGCGATGGACGAGAACCATGAGAACTAAGACTATTGAATAGTCTGCAAAAGGACGTGAGCGACTGACATGACTGATGAACCAGTACGGAATATCACGACCAACACCCCCTCTTAATTGGAGAAGCTAGGTTTTGACACTCACAGCCGGACTGAGGGTCTATAGAATACCAAAACCGATGATATGCCCGCCGCTCACGTATGTTCGAGGCCTGCTGTGAAACTAGTCTGCAACAGGACCTATGCTTTCAAGCATCAAAAGAACCCGGCCACCAGAAGCTTCACCCAGCGGCTCCCATCAGCTTCTCCAGCAGCTTGGCCTTGGCCTCATCGGACCCCGTGGAGGAGTTGCCTGCTTTGCGGCCTGACTGCTTCGGTGCCGCCTTGACTTTCGGGTCGGGCTTATTCGGATCTGGCAGATTCTTCTCAACACTCTCCGTCTCATCTGGGTCACCCATATCATCATCTCCATCTTTCTTGGCGGTCTTGGATGCTCGTGCTTTTTTTGGTGCTGCTGCTTTCGGGAGCCCCGGGGGAGGAACCTTGCGCTTGGAGTTCTTGAGGTTCAGCAGCTTGCACCTGAGTGGCATGGGAAGGACATGGTCTTCACTCTAAGTGTTCTTGCTTAAGCACCCGCCAGCAAACAAGACAATGCACTTTGAAGCAATGCAGTCCCAAGCACAAAGCCGGCTGGTGATGCGGGCTTGTCTCATCTAAGAACATCCCCCACAAGCACTTCATGATCTTGGTCTTCAATGCCTGGCGGTGCTCCTCTGTCCAGCAGGAAACCACGATCGGCACCCGCATTTCTAGACACACGCAGGGCAGCAGGTGATCCAAGCACGTGGCGGCTATGACAACCTGGGCTTCCATTGCATGCAGAATCTCTTCCCACACCTGCTTTCCTGTGAAATGCCACGACATGGGCTCGAGTCCGTCTTCAAATTTCGGTTTCGGGAGTGGGTCCGCAGCAGCTCCTCCGGTGAGGATCTTACCGTTGGTGCCGAGCATCTTGCGCTTGCTGACGGGATCCACTCTCCAGCACTCGCCGTCAAGGAAACTTGGTGCCTTAAAGTACCCCAAGAGTGTGCCGTGAGTCGTGGCATCCGGCAGATAGAGCCTGGGCTTGTTTTCAATCTCCAAGGGCCCACCAGTGCACATCACGTGGAGGTTCTCGCTTTGATTCACAAATCCCTTCACTCTCTCTTTTCTGTCCCCTAAGGACTTCTGCGTCGTCAGAACGATGAACTTCTGGCTTTCTTTTGAAAAGAGTTTGCCCTCCAAGTCCAAGAAAGCGCTCTGGATCTGCCCTTCGTTGCGGAACTTGCCTCCATCCAACACACAAACCTGGGCTGTTCTTGAACACCCGTGAACAATTCTGAAATCTAGCAACATGTTCAACTGCGGGGGCGAGATGCGAGGTGCTTGGGAGGAAGGGTGCCTCCGTGAGTCTTGCCCTCGTCGAAGGAACGGATCACCGCATGAACCCATTTCGTCAAGTCTTTCGGCTTGAACGGCGGCTGCCTCGTGTTCGGGTGGCTGGATGCTTCGCCAGCCGTTTTGCAATCGTAGATGAGCACCTTCTGCCCATCTTTCTGCTGGCTAGCCTGGACAATAGCCATTTCCTTCATGCTCTCTGCAAGCGTGGTGCTGGAGCTGTCATTCAAGATGAAGCTGACCCACTGTCCGAAAACCTCCTCTAAGTACTCCTGCCACTGACTCAACTGACCGTCCACGTCCAGCTTCTCTTGCTCCGGTGTCACTAACTCAGCCAGTGGCACAGTGAAGGACTTGTCCATAACCTGAGACTCGGCCTTCTCAATCTCATTCTTCTTGCCGGGTGCCTGCGGGCCAGATTCCTTCTGGAAGCAAGCCTGGAGCTCATCCAAGGCATCTTTCAGAGTCTGGACGGCCTGGATGACATCCTTGGGGTCCATCGTGTTCTTGATGGCTTGCTTGAGATACTGGTCCATGCTCTGTGAATAGACTGCATTCTTCACGAACTGAATCAGCAGCCTGGTGCTCCCGGCCTTGAGGCCCATCCACTGCGTGTCCACCTGCTTGACCAAGACTCAAAACAAATGCATATGACATCTGTTTAGTGCGCAAACAACGCACGATTGTATTTAGTTGGCTATGTCGCTATGTTCCATTCCCACCTTCATTCCGGCAGCACCACAGCACTTTCGGTAGGACTCCGGAGTAAGCAGCTGACTCAGCATTGCCCGTTGCTCTTCACCGAACCCGTGGCTCACAAGCCACGTGTTCAAGTACTCCAGCAGCATCTTCTTGAAGAGAAACAAGTGCACGACGCCCTTCCCGCCCTTCTTGTTACCGAGATTGCGACTGCTGAACTCAGCAGGAGTCATGCCGAGGAACTTCAAGCCGTGTGTTATCATGTCCAGAAACCAGAGAATGTCTTCTCTGGTCTTGGTGGAGCTGATAATTGCTTCCAGCGAGTAGATGCTGTTGAGAGGGTTTGATTTGCC